CTATACAAAAGAAAAGAGACGACATGAATATTTTTACAGCTATGTCAAGGTAATATCAAACAATATCAACTACAAATAACAGTATTTTTACCCTCATTATGCACCTGTCCTTACATTAAGCTCACCATAATCACCCACTACAAATACCCAAATGCTCAAACTAAAAGTATGTGATATCAAACAGAATAGAGCATAATAAAGAGACTTCACTAGAAATGATTCAACCATCAAATTAAAATGTATATAATGAAAATTGCGTTAATGTACCTCAATGCGAGATGCTTCAGTTAAGTCTGAAAATAATAATGCTCTCTTCTAATCTGTAAAGCGAAAGTAATGCAGCTAAGAGCAGGATGAAGGAATCTAGTTGTACTACTCCTACTACAACATTCGAGGCGCTCAGGTTTGTGCCTGCCCCTCCCACACCCCGGTTGGCGAGCTGGCTAGCTGGCTGGCTGGCATTTTGCTTGGCTGGTTGTTCGTTGTTGGGTGCATTAAAAATAAACGACTGTGGGTAGCGCTCAATTTGGAATGAAATTGGCGCAAATACCAAAAATTTATACAATGGCAAATGCAGCAGCAGGAAAATAAAGAAAAGGCAAAACCAACGAGAAAAAAAGGAAATAAAGTGAAAAGAAAAAACACAAAAAAGCGAAAAGCAGCAGAGCACAAATTGAAAAGCCATACAAATCAAATTGCGTGGGTGTGTGTGTGCTGGCTTGCGGATATTCGTGTGTGCGTGTGTGTGTGCTTTTGTGGGTTATATAATTTATAAGCGGCCATCAGGAGTGCTCATTATGTGGCACAAAATAAGTAAGTGCCACTCGGTTTATACACAAAGTAAACAACGTGCCAAAATGCCTGACAATGCTCCAAGCTCTACCTACCTCGATCACCCTTCCTCCCTCCCTCTCCCACTCCCTCCTCTCTCTCTCTCTCTCTCTCTATCACTGGTTTTGCTTTGTGTGTGGAAAATGCATAAAAGTGACCAGCACGCAGTGGCCATAAATGAGCCTTGAAGCACACTCGCATATCTCTTCGCTTCTCCCTCTCATCTATATGTGGCACTTAAGTTTGTTACCCAGCTCGATTTTATGCGACCCCAGCCCGCCCCAGTGCCTTAACCTTCCCATCGTTTGCTCCCATTGTCTTTTTGCTCGATAATGCAATCAATTTGGCCGGCCCGTTTCGTTAGCTCAATTTCTGCATAGAGCACGGGGCCACATTACACAAAGCATTCCAATAATTCTGATGCTTGGAAGTAGTAATTTCCACAGGGCTGGCAAACAATCTCTGAGCTGAATGGATTACAAATTTGTTTCGTTTGTGGACCAAATCAATTTTTGTGAAAATGATTACAGCGACAGCAAATAGAATATCCGAAAGTGTTCTAGTTACATAATGTGTTTCTAAACGAAATTCGAAAACTGTGTAAAAGGGAAATGGAAAAGGAAGTCATGTGCCATCATTAATCAATTTTCCAATTACTGATATTTGAGGAAATTGTCTGAAATGGCGAGTGATTAAAAATCTGTTTGAGAAAATCAAATTAGCAGTTATTAAAGCTTTGATTATTTGGATAAATATTATTTTCAAATGCGATATAATATATACAATTTTTTTTATAGATTAGTTTATGAATATATAGTAAAAAAAAAATTCAACAAGTTTGAGCACAACCAACCTCTATTTGAAATTTAACACAAGCGTATGTAAAAAAAAAAATAATAAATAAATAAACATTTTTTTTTTAATTTTTAATAAAATAAATGAATAATAATAAACGATGAACATTTTGTTTATAATTAAAAAAAAAAAATAAATAATAAAATATTAATGATAATAATAATATTCTGAATAAAATATATTATTTAATTGAATGAAAAAAACATATATAATATATATATAAGTTTAAATAAATCAGTTTTGATTCTATGTGAACAACTTTTGAATCGACTCAGGCAGTAAAAACTGTATGATTTGTCTGTATATTATCAGTTTATCTCTCATATGCATTTTAAATCATACAAATCGAAGCAAATGCCTATTCAGAAGATAAACTTTATAGCAAATAGTCTATACTACTTGGAGCAGAGTTGTGTTTGCGAAAATCAGTAAATCACATTCGTTAGGCAAATTTATTGCCAAAATCGAAACGGAATCCACAAAAATATATTTCAAATAATTTGCAAATCGATTTGCAGCCCTGAAGCATGAATTGCCGTGCCATGGCAGAGCCAAGGCAAGTCTGCATAAATTATTGCCAATGCCGAGTGGAAGTTAATAGACTTTTCGCTTTTGCTAATGCAAACAGCAAGACAGTGAGTGCTGCAGCGGATGCCTGCTAAAATCAAAGAAGGAAGTGCAAAGAATTTCGCGCAAAATTTAATTACTCAGAGAGCTGAGAGAACTGAGAGCTCTGAACCGAGAACTGCGTCAAAAAGATACGCTCAACAGCCGCTGCTATCCAAGAGTTCAGCTTCGTTTGTTTATGCATATTTTAGTCAAGGCTGCACATTAACTGCAGCAGCAGGACTAGCAGCAGGAGTAGCAGCACTGCAGCAGCCGCGCCACTTGATATTGTTGTTGTTATTGCTGCAACAGTTGTGCAAACATTGCGCCCAATGCCTTAATGACCCGCCGCCCTTTGACCTTTTGCCGCGCGAGGGCAAGTCGTTTGCATATTCATTGGTCACTCCCATTGCCCATCCGCCGGAGAGCCACGCTGAGTCGCCGCTTTGAGCGCAAATATTCCGAGCACTTTAAACAATTCATTAATTTACATTTACAAGAGCTCCGCCATTCCGCAATAGATAACAAACTACAAAACAAAAGTTACTCAACTTTGTGGTAGAAGCAACAATAGTTTCCTGAATTGAACTGTATATAAATATTGAAATCAAAGAAATGCTCATGGTTCGTTATATTAAGGGTAGTTAGCCAAGAACTGGCTGGCTTCCTCTGCTTTTGCTCACTTTCTTAGCAACAGTGAGTAGTATGAACGAACGAATCAGCTGATAATAGAGCCGGAAGGTTCCCAAAATAGCTAGACAATTTGATGATATTTTGTGATGCCTTGTTCATTTATTAACTAATAATAATCAGCAAATTATCTGAAGTACTTAGAGATTGCAGAGTACATATATAATATTTATATTAAGCAGTTATAGCAAAGCATTTCCCGGAATAAACTACCAACACGAATAGAACTGATATGTTGAAGAACTGATATGTGTGTCGATGTCTGATATTTATTTGATTCAAGTGCTGTGAAGTATAGAAGCTATGTATAAAGATTATGAAAAAAAAAAAAAAAATAATAATAATTAACAAATAAATAAAAAAAACTCCACAAATATATACCTAAAAGTAACTACAAAATAAATATAAAAATCATAAAAATTAAAATAATATAAAAAATAGTATAAAAATTAATAAAATATGTTTTTTTTTTTTTTTTTTTTTGACTTTGATTTAATTTGGTGACAATTATTATAGAAAAAAAAAATATAAGAACAAAATTCAGTCAAAGTGAAATTCCGCAGGGTGTGTGGAAGTCTTCAATCTTCAAGAAAAAATAAATAAAAATATATATATTTAAAAAAAATCATTTTTATAAACAATATTTGTAGGCTACGCTAACAACTCTACTATTTAGCTATAAAAAAAAAATTTTTTTTTTAAATAAATAAATAAATAAACGTCAACCTCAAATTGTTGAATGATTACAAAGCAACAAATTATTTGCCAATTATTAAATATTTGTTTACTCAAAATATCAAAGCTCAGCATGAACCTGATTTTACAACATATCTTTGTAAAATCTCTCAAATCATAAGGCTCAACTATGCAGCCAACCAATCGAATGTTGTCAACGTAAGCGACCTAACAAACCTTATTAAAAGGTATTTAGGGAAAATGTGTTTTAAGCTATTTTTTAAAACACAAATATTTATTTTTGAAAAAGAAACAGAGACAAAAGAATTCCCATTTACAACTCTCTGGCATATAATAGAGAAACGAATTTCAACAAGCATTTATTGATATTGATTACACACACATGTGCACCAATTCACACACACACACACACACACTAACACACACCAACTGGTCATGCAATCATTTCAAGCAATTTCCTGCTGCATTTTGCATAGAGCCCAGCGGGTGTAGCGTGGGCTGGGCGGGGCGGTGCGAAGCGGTGTTGCGTGGCCGCCCACTTTTTGCCGTCGAAGCCGAAAAGTATGCTACAACTTTTTGATTTATATAGAGATTGATGCAGAGAGGTGTTTTAGCACATCAGCAGCACACAAATTAAGCAGAAAATAACAATAACAAGCCAAAAGCAATGAGAACGAGAATCGGCATGAGAATGAGAATGAGAATCAAAATGAAAACTCATGATGGTCATCATTTTCAAGCTAAATGCTCTCGCCCCATTTCAGTGCCGTCCCGCACCGTCCGGTAATTGCCAACGAACAAAATGCCTTTGCTTTCTGCTCTGTGCAATTTTCCCATTTGCAGTGTTTAATGGAAAAATCAAGCCATCAGTTTTTCACTGTGCTTATGTTTTCCCAGCTGCAGCATCTTCTTCTTATACTACCCATTCACTCTGCTAATTGCAACAACAATTGCAACAAACTGAATCTGATGGCAACAACTAGGCCATAGTCATCGAGTGTGAGTGTGAGCGATAGAGAGAGAGAGAGAGAGAGCAAGAGTCTGAGTGAGAGAGTGATAGATAGCGCTGGCACGCCCCCTTCGGGCGTTTGGATAACAAGCTGGGTGCAAATTTTACAAATTATAATCGTCATTTGTCATGATGCTGGAACTCAACAAGGACACAGACTCGGACTCGGACTTGGTCGACAGCCCAGGCCCAGGCCTTCACCCACATCGTATTTTTATTGACACATTGAAATGACAAGGGACACGAAAACAGACACAGCGCACAACAGAGAGAAACATAGAGAGAGAGAGAGAGAGAGAGAAAGAACTAGAGCGACTGCTACTGCAGTAAACTGAATTAGCAATTCAGTTAAAATCCATTTTTCTGGCTCATAGTCAAGGCAAGTCAGGCACGTCGTCGGCAACGCACACCAAAGATTTCCATGCCGGGCCGACATTTTTGCAGCGTATCGAACAGCATGCCGCCAAATGCATCGCGCATTGTTATGCTTAGATCCTCGATATGGCCGATGTCACAGTACGCCATCAGTCCGCTGCCCAGCAGCATTTCGCAAGGTGTTCCGGCGACCAGGCGCGGCTCGTAACGGTAAACAGCGACGCAGAGCCGCAACTGCTGACGTTGCAACAGCAGCGGTATCATCGCTCTCCAATTAACCTGCGTCATATCCAAGTCATCCTCCTCGAGCAGTTGCTGCTGCTGCTGCTGCTGCTCTTCAAACAACAGCTCCAGTTCATTGTAGCCCAAGGGCTGCAGGTGAGAGCCAGGCCACAGGCAGCTCAGCAGCAAGAGCTTCAGCCAAACTAACTGCATTTTATACATAGCTCTGTATATGCTGTATGTATGTGTATGTATTTTGTAATTGAACTTATTTTTATTTCGTATTCTTTATGTTTTCTTTGCAGTAATTAATATCGCGTTTGCTCGCATCGAAGCTTCCAAACAAACTGTGCACTACGACCTACGTGACTTAACGTGCCCAAGTCGTAAGTCTTATAAAGTCGGTCAGAATTCGATTGCTGGCGTTTCGTCGGGCATGAGGATTGCTTATAATCAATGCAGCTTGCGTCAACTCAGCTTTGTAGCGTCAAATTCGAGTTCGAACTCGAACTGCTCTTGATAATTGCGTCTCAGAGTCGAG